AGTAAGAGTTAAATTACAAATAAAATAAATTTTAATTATAATAAAATATATTTTATTAGGTAAAAAAATTAATATATTGTAATTTATTATATTATTTTCTTGTTTCATTGTGTTAATATAATAATTTTAAAGATTAATTATAGAACATGGTAAATATTTAGGAAGTGGTGCTCCCCCAAAATTGCGGTTTTTTCAGTAATAAACAAAGCTAATTATAAAAAGACGTGTATATCGTGTTTTAAGAGGAGGCTTATGGTTTTTGTAGAAAAAATCCTAATTTTAATAAAAAAAATAAAAGTAGTTATAAGATTCTAAATGTATAAAACAGTATAAATAAATAGAAAGGGCAAAGAGTCAATTAGTTAAACAAACAAATTTAATTCAAAAAATCTTAATATACGAATTAACTAAAAACAAAAACGTTTCAACTCCAATCGGGTCATTTTCAATGTACAATTTGACATGTTTTATAACCAAATTGATTATGGATATAAGAAAAAGTAAAATTAGAATGTGTGTAATTATAACGCATCTTTTCGTCCGCATGAATAAAATACAAGTAGTTATAAGATAATTTAATTTTTTATTGAAATGTTGATATATAAAGTGTTTTAGTTTTCTACATTATCATCTATTTAGACATGAGATCGAAGTAAAACATTCGCAAAAAGGAAAAGAATATATGGACATTCTACTTCTTCCCTGTCCAGGAGGGATGACCGACTTTTCACGTAAACCGAGTTCCATCCAATCTCTTCCCCTGTATGTACGATTTTTTACACAAAGCAAGATCTACCTGAATAAAAAATTATATGCTTTTTTTGGCAAGGAGGAGATAAACTTGCTTTTGTGTAGAATGTCTTGCATTCCATGGTAAGGGAGAAGATAGGATGGACCTAGTTTACATAATACGGTCACTAGAATGATCTTTATATTTATAAACATTTGAAGCATATAGTTGTTAAAAGATTTCTCATATTAAAATGAGGAATAAAACTGTCTTATTTGTTCTTAAAGTATAATTTTTTCTACTTCAAGACAAAATCACAAGCCCATTCTTAAAACATTGTATACATGTGTATACATGCATGTGTCTTTTTAAAACTAGTTTTGTTTGTTACCGAAAAAAACCGCGGTTTTTGGAGGAGCACTATTTCTGAATTTATTACTTAAAATGTAATAAATCAAAATAATTGTACACTGTAAAAAAATACATTAATTTTAAGTAACACAGTAATATTTTAAAACATAAAATACATTTCTAAAGTTTTATAATTAATATGCTTGACATAAAAGTAGCTTTTTATACAGAAATTTATAAGGATATAAATTAAAGTTGCTGGGAAGGGGGGGATAAGATCATTTCAATTGGGAAAGACAACATTTCAGGATACCTTTCATCGAATAATCCATACTTTGGTGCCACCGTTGGACGAGTTGCGAATCGTATCGGCAAAGCAACTTTTGTTGTGGATGGCCAACGTTATAATGTATCCAAGAATACAGGTGAGAACAGCCTCCACGGTGGTACTCGCGGTTGGAGTTTCAAGGTATGGGATGCAACAATTCAAGGCGATTGCGTGGTGATGACTTTGGTCAGTCCGGATGGTGATGAAGGTTATCCGGGATCAGTAACGGCGAGAGTGAGCTTCCAACTGACGAATGATGGAGAGTTGCGCATAGAGATGAAAGCCAAGTCCGAAAAGGCAACGCCGATTAATTTAACGAATCACGGCTATTTCAATCTCGCTGGACACGTACGTAGTACATTTCTTTCTGAAAGTATTTGTGTTTTCGAGAAAGACAAGGAGATAACAATAAATCTTCTCATGCATCATATTCCACATTGAATGAAAAACAAGGAACAAATTGAAAAAGAATAAGTTAGAAAGAACACATACAATGAATGCGGATCGTTTTAGGATATTTTTATCATTATATGCTTTCTACAATAAGTCGTTAGTAATAGATCAGAAGTCGAGAGCGAATTGTAAACGAGTCAGTATAATGTGTCATAATAAGTTATTAATCAATATTTATGTGAAGATGATCAAATTCCACGTTTCTTACAATTTAAAACTTAAATTATGTTATGATTCACATAATATATTTGTCCTGAGGATTACCATCTTTTTGAAATTTTGTAACAATCCAATGTGATTTATTCTGGATATATATAAGCTTCCCCTAAGATTTTTTATGACTTATAATTCTGACGTATCACTAGTGCGATATGAGTGATGACAACTGATTGTAGAAAGTACAAACATATTGCCTTCACCGTACAGGAAACAGATTTATTACACCATAATTTAATTTGTAATTATGTCACAGATACAACAATAACTTTATTAGGCAGCTAATTGATTGATCATAAATAACGAAAGTGTTATGGATCATTATATCATAAATTTGTTTCTCAGGCCACAAACGCAGCAGAACTGTATAAACATGTGATCACGATGAACGCCGATCGTTGGACGGTCACGGATTCCGAAAGCATTCCTACCGGCGAGATTCGGTCAGTTGCGAATAGCGTAATGGATTTGAGGAATCCAACAAAGCTCGGTGATGTCATCGACAAAGTACCGAATGGCGGTTATGACTACAATTTCTGCTTGCCAGAGTCGTCCAATGATGGAAAAGTCAATTTTGTAGCCAAAGTAGTACATCCACCTTCGGGACGTCGTTTGGAAGTATATTCGAATCAACCGGGCGTTCAGTTTTACACGACCAATTCTGTACCTGAAAATGGCATCGTGGGCAAAAACGGAGCAAAGTACTTCAGACACGCCGCTTTTTGCTTGGAAACGCAAAATTATCCCGACGCTGTAAACCATAAAAACTTCCCAAACAGCGTGCTGCGACCAGGCAATACGTACAATCACGTTGTCGTGTATAAATTTGGA